CATACTTTCATTTTCATAGGATATAAGATTAGTCCTCATCAATCTTATCAACTTTGACTGAACTTGAATGGCAAAAATAAAAAACCCAAGTCCATTAAAATGTGAAAAATATGGAGAGAAAAAATATCACTTATTTGTTTAGATCTTATAAAAAAATAAGTTTAGGGATTTATTTGATGAAAATATGAGTTATAAACAACTTTAATTATATTTTCTTATTTCAATTAATTACAATAAAATATTCCCACATTAGTTTTACCATAGATATAAGTATCACTCATTATATTTAACTAAATCGTGATGTAGTGAGAAAAAGGCTCAAGTGTAAAGATTTAATCGAGTAATTTAGTGTAATGCACAAATGAATCTAAGTATTCTGAATTCAAATTTTCAATCAATAATAAGGGATGTGCATGTAAATATGTGTTCTTGGTGAGTAATTACAATCAACTTTTAATTTTATACCCTCTCTCTCTCTCTCCTTGCGAGATATGTTTTTTTCTAAATAATCTTAATTTAAAATACTTAGTCAGTTTAAATTTTTTTCTTAAATTTATTTTTGTATTAATTAATGTGAGTATGGGACATAATCTATTTTTTTTTTTGGGAGAATTTTGTTAAAGGACTAATAATGTGACTTATTTACAAAACAAACACGAAATAATCCAAAATATCACTACAGGATTTTAGGTCTGAATTGAAATTAAATTACAAAGCAAAATGACTAAAATATCATTTGAAGACACATAATGGACTTGACAAGTAATGGTAGGGGGTTAACAAGTAATATTATAAGTTTAACAACTCAATTACATTGTTTAAAATAGTATATTGACAAAAAATATTTATTATATGTTGGATGTGAACAAGTAACATATAGACTTAACAAGTAATAATAAGGAATTAACAACTAATATTATGCGTCAAACAAGTCAAACATTATTTTACAAGCAACATAATGGATTTAATAAGTAACAACAAGGAATTAACAAATGATATTAGTAATTGAATATTTTACATGATAGTAAATCTTTACCTCTCAAGTTACTTTTTTAAGTAATACTACAATGGACTTGTTAGACATATAATATTACTTGTTAATCTCTTGTCGTTATTGTGAAACCCATTATATGTCCTGTTTAGTATTTCAACTTAACTAGATTTTATATTCATGTGATGCGCAGAAAAGTTAAAATGAAAATGTTAAAAATTAAATTAAAGTATGCATTTAGTTCTTTTACTTTATATAAAATTTTATTTTAATCTCTTAATTTTATAAAATATCTTTTTAGTCTTTTAATTCTAATACTATTAATTTTTCCTAACAAATTTTTACATTATATTTTCAAAAATTGACAAAATATTTTTAAATATTGATATATTAAATTTAATTTTTTTAAAATAATAATTATTAATGTAAAAAATAATCATTTCAAACTAATGATGTTAAGGTTGAAGGATTAAAATAATACTTTATAAAAATAAAGAATTAAATTAAAACCTTATATTATAAATTTAGATGACTAAAACTACACTTTAGCCTAAAAATTAATAGAAGATGAATATTGAATAAATATTAAAGTTTATAATTATAGACAAAATAGCATTTAGAAGGCATAAAATAGTATTGTCTGTATAATTGGAAGGCACAAAATAAGCCTTATACTATATTTTTTTATTTCTTGTTTCTCGTGCAACGAGCCTGATTTCGGTCTGTAGCAAATAGAAATGAATAACAATTTTATGTAACAATGTAAACGATCAATTATTTTATTTTAAATTTTTCATTTTTTGTTAAAATATATAGAATAATTTGTTATTTTATGATGTATTGTTATCACATATTTTTTCTAGAATATTTCACCTGTACAAATTAACATATAGATATAAACTTGTTAAAAATATTTTTAAAAATTTATCATATTCAATAGATACAATATAATAGATTTTAATTTTATTTTAAAACATGTTTCATAAACTTCCCTTTTTCTCATAATTTTTTTAAATATAAAAATTAAATGTTGGGGGTGGAGCACTGTAGAACTAGGGTGCCCCGCTACCGCTTTTGCAATATATGAAAAAAATTTGTTAAAATACATAAAATAATTTGTTATTATATGATGTATTGTTATCACATATTTTTCTAGAATATTTCACTTGTACAGAATAACATATAGATACTAACTTGTTAAAAATATTTTTAAAAAATTTATCATATTCAATTACAATAAAATAGATTTTAATTTTATTTTAAAACATGTTTCATAAACTTTCCTTTTTTTAATAATTTTTTTTCCTCCAGTACCATTTTTACAATATATGAAAAATAAAAGAAGAATATTTTAATCATTTTATTTTTTAGTTTAATTTAAATTCAAACATCAAATCTTGTAGTGATATTTTAATTATTTTGGATTTGATTTGTAAGTAAGTTCTACCAATGATCTTTGGATGAAATTCTGTCTTTATTATTATTATTATTATTATTATTATTCTTCTTCTTCTTCTTCTTCTTCTTCTACCAAGAAGACACGTAATCTAACTAAACAACTATTTTTATTTTTCATAATAAAAGAGCTACAAAAAGAGAAAAGACCAAAGACATGGTATTTTTTTAATAAAAATAAAGAAATAATTGTTTTTATCGATATATCTCAATTTATAAAATATTTTTTAATAAAATCATACATGCCAATAAAATTTATTAAATACACTTTATAATTTTATTTTTTAAATATAATATAAATATTTTAAAATTACCTTTCATTTAATATAATTTTATTTGTAAAATACTAAGATAAAAAGAGTAATATTGAAAGTATAATTATTAAAATCTTATTTGTTTTTTTTGTCCAAGTTGAGTATGGATTAGGATTTAGTGTTGTATGAAAAACCAAACTCGTTGGGTCAACTCAAGAATTGGTGAATCGACTTCTTCATTGGTTCGATTTTCCTCCTGACTTAGTTAGCTTGTGATCCTATATAACTTGATTAACTCGAGGTTAACTTGGTGTAAATTGAATAATCCATCGAGTTAGCTAGGTTAATTGGATCATTTGCTTTTACTATCAGATTTTTTAAAAAAAAAATGTAAAAAAAAACCAAAAAATTGTCAGCTTAGCTGAAATTTCAAAAGCTTCAAAACAACGGCAAGAAAAACTAAATAAATGAATAAGAAGAAGAAGATGGTGGTAGAGGAGATATGTTGCTTCATTCCAACTATGCTTGAAACGAGATGACAACCCAGATGAAGAGCAGTAGACCACTGGGAGAGACCGAGTAGATTTGGAACAAAGAGAGGCGATCTAGAATGTGCAGATTGGGAACACCAAACAACTAAGTAGATCTGGAACACCGAAGAGTAAAACGCAGATTTGGAATGCCACACAAGTAAGCTGTCATCGAAAAATGATAAAGCAAAATAGAGAAGAGAAGTGAAGCTGTGCCCAAAAAAGAGAGATAGGGTAGAAGAAAATAATAATTATAATTTCATTACTTTTTATTTAAAATAAATAATACTCAATCTCTTTAAAAATATAAAATATTTTTAAAAAAATTAAATGTTAAAAATGTAAGATATTTTTAATCTTTTAAAATATAATTATTATTTTTTATTAAAAATATTTTTATTGATGAATAATTTTATTATAGGTGTTTAATAAAAATAAATAAAAAAATAAAATTAACTTAAAAAGTAGATAATTATGATATTAAAAAGTAAAATTTAATAAAAAATATTTTATATTTTTAAAAAGTGGTAATGATAGTCTGGAGACATGTCATTCTTGCTGACATGTCATTCTCTTTCCCAAGTTTTCAAGCCATTTTGAAAATGCATTCTCGATAAAGATTATTCATTTTAACTTACTGTGTTAATGGATATTTTATACATTTCATCTTATAAAATATTATATTTTACAAAATAATAATTTTATACAATATTTTGAGGATTGGTACTTTTTATTTAAATATTTTTCATGGTCACATAAAAATATTTGTGTATATTTTAATTAAAATTTATTATTTTAATTATGATTAATTTAATTTCAGTCTGATTGAATTATTATCTTAATTGATTTAATAATCAATTTAATTTTTAATATCTTGAGATTTAGATTCAGTGAACCACATAACTAGCACCACATACACAAATAACAATGATTTCATTTAATTAAATAGTTATAAAAAATTTTGTCATAAAAATATTAATAAAAGAACCATACAAATGAAAATTTTGAAGATTGCTTAAATTTTTATAAAAAGATGGATTTTGTCATTTTGATAATTTTCAAAGTACGTATAAAATTCAACACACTCATTAAATAGATCAACTCAAGTCATTCTCCGAATTCACTTCGTTACGGCTAGAGCTGGGAATTCGGGCGGGCCGGGCTTATTCGGGCTCGGCCCGAATAGGCCCGGCCCGAATAGGCCCGAACCCGAACAAGCTCGTTTTTTTAAAAAGCCCGAATGACTAAGTCCGGCCCGAATTCCTTCGGGCTTCGGGCGGCCCGAATACCCGAATTTTATTTTTAAAATTATTTTTAATTAATTTTTTTACTTTAAAATTAATTATTTTATTTTATAAAAAAATATAAAATATATGTTTTTAATACTTAAATGATGTTTAGGACTCAAATATATGATATTTTAGTATAAAATAACCTAAAAATTAAAGAATTAATTAATATTTATTATATATTATATATTTTTAAAAATAAAAATAAAATTACTCGGGTATTCGGGCCAAGCCCGAACCCGAATCGGGCTTGGCCCGAATTTTTTCGGGCCTATTCGGGCCGGCCCGAATAGGCCCGAACATAAAAAACATCTTTTTTTTAAAGCCCGACCCTAAAATTTTTCGGGCTAGCCCGTCGGGCTCGGCCCGAATTACCAGCTCTAGTTACGGCCATGGTTGAAAGTGTTATCCTTTTCTTTGCCTGTATTTACGCAATCGGATTCTTGGATTCTGGATGCAAATACCATAAATAGTACAAGTAGCCAGCGATACAGCCGACACGCGGATGCACGCGCGGCCACCACCTTGCAATGCATTCCTTCTGGCTTTTGTTTTCCTCTGCCTGACGAAGGAGGAGGAGGTGACGCATGCTCATACTGTCACACACAGCCTCGGTTTAGCTTTAGCGTTGCGTTAACGATCCGTTTGTGGGCGCATGAGCCTTAGCGCGACGCCCAGCAATTTCACCAGTGTCTGATCTGAGCATTACAGGACAAGACAACCAGCACATGACTGTGGATTACTATATTGTATAACCCTTTTCAGTATATGATTCGGATTCAAGAGTTTCATATTAAACACCAAACACTCTGAAACAAGAATCTTGTTGCGTGTCCGAGCTAAAAGATCTGCTATCAAGCAGCCAGCGTTTTTTCGGGCATTCTGGTTCCTTTCCCTGGGTTTTCTGGTTCCTGAATCTTTTTAATTCCGAAATAAACCTACTGCTGGAATTGGAATTCGCTTCGAGGTTGTACTTCTTGGCGCTGAATTTTTATGCTTGTGGTCTGTTGCTTTTGTAAATGCATGTCGGTTCTTTGGATGATTTTTGTGTACCATTTGTGCTTTTGAAGTACGGGTCTTAATATATGTGCCTTTTGCCTTTCTGGTTTGGATATTTTCAGTGACGAGATTGTCTGGGTAGCTTCATTTGAGGATAAGGATCATGATTCGTAAGACTTGGTGATTCTGCTTATGGCTAGTGATTTATAAAGGGAGAATTATGGCTGGGGAGATTGAAGAAACGTTTAGCATTAACTTTCAGGTTATTTTTTTCCCACTCTCTTATGATCTAATCATGGATCGCTTTATGGCTTTTCCTTATGCCAGTACCATCATGAGTTTCTTTCGTCTTCTTTCAACTTTTGTTTGCTTTATCGAGCGACAACTTTTTTCAATAATCAATTTAATCCACAAACAGAGTGAGAAGAACTGAATATTTTAAGGTTTCAAAAGACGCCACCGACGTCTTTTTCCTTTCTCGGTGATTGGCTAATTACCGTTTTCATTTGCTGTGAATAAAATTGGTTAATGATTATTTGTTGCTAGATGATAATTTTATCGTGTTCTCTGTCAGCTGCGGAGTGGAACTGATCTGAACTATTAATTCATATAATAGTTTGTCAAAATAGAATGATAGTGATTGACTGCTGTGGATTGGTCCAACATACTAATTTACCCTGATGGGGCTTACTCTAACATGAGTACTTTTTTTTTTTATGGGGTTCATATTTAGTGACAGTATCTCGCCAAAGCATTTATTTTGGTAATCTAGCGGACCACCTCAAAGTATTATTTTACCATATAGAGTTCTGTTCTGGTGATGTTGAAATGGTACAATGGAAACTGTTAAATGTACAAGTGTCTGTAGAAGGAAATTTGCGAAATTGTAAAACGTGGACTTGCAGTCTTTTTTTGCATAAAATGGTGCTGCAATTATTTTTTCTTTCACATCATTTTTTCTTGGGCCAAATTATTGTGTTTATCTTGTCCCCCTTCCATTTCACAGAGTTTACTATGAGAATTGTCTCAATTGTGTTGTGTTAATATCTGTTTCTGGTTGCTGGTGCTCTGCTTCATTGCAAATGATGCAGGGAGATTCAATACATTCCGGCTCCATCTCATTTGGAAGATTTGAAAATGAACCTTTATCTTGGGAAAGAAGATCCTCTTTCTCTCACAATAGGTACTTGGAAGAAGTTGAGAAATGTTCAAAACCAGGTTCAGTTATTGAGAAGAAAGCATATTTTGAAGCTCATTTCAAGAAGAAGGGCCTTTTAGGTTTTAATATACCTGTAAATCATGATGGATCTGATCAAACAACTGGTGAAAATGACGGTTCAGAGAGAATTAGCGACCTAGGGGATTTTGAGTCAAATGAAAATGGTCAGGGTGTTCAGTTTGATCAAAGATCCCAAGAGGATTTTGAACCGATTGTAGACGGCCAATATATTCAATTTGATCAAAGATCATTGGAAGATTTTGAGCCAATTGTGGATGGCCATTATGGTCAATATGAACACAGATCTTTCGAAGATTTTGGGCCAGATGAAAATGACAATCATATTCAATTTGATGAAGGACCTGCTGGTTCAGATTATAATGGAGAGTATGGAGTGACTGGATATGAAGTGGAAGGTCTGGTCACAGAAGGGCCAAAAGTTTCATCTTCTAACCTGCATATGGAATTCGCTGTAAATAACTGTAATGTTTTGGAGGATGCTATTGACAATAACAGAATTTTGGATGAAGCTCCTAAACCTGAAAATGAGACAAGTAGCACAATCTCTGTTGATGACACGATGGTTGTAGAAGTGAAAAAGGACCATGGTGGTACTGCCAATAATGATGAATCATTAAGAATTATGAATGTGACTGAACCAGCTAGAGGTGTTGAGCAAACAGCTCTCAATGATCCTCCAAGTCCCTTTCCAAAGGTATGCTTCTCCTCAGTGATGTTTCTTTTTTTAAACATGGGAAGATAAAAAATGGAAAGTCCAGAAAGGAAATAGTATAGTTAAAACATTATCAAATACTGTTTTCTTAAATATGGAGCTATTTCTGTAGGTGTTTTCTTATGCATTGTTCATATTCTGCAATATTTAAATATACTTCATGTAATATGTTGTCCTATGATTTTGTGGACGGACTCATGGGAAACAAAGCCTGAGCCTGGGTTGAGCTCCGTAGTCAACCGTGTTCAAGTCTGGAAAAACAGTTCAGCAAGATCACCTAAGGGCTTGGCAAGAAATTCTAGTAGAGAGAGTCCAAGGAAAACCAATGTGGAAAAGAATTCATCAAAACTTGCAACGCCAAGGACTCATTCACTAGGCAGAACTCCAAAAGAAGTAAGGATTTAATGGCAGCAGTGTATTTCTAGAAGAATGGAAGATTAATGAGTTGATAATTATTTGTCTCAGTGTACATTTTCAAATTATGTTGATTATTAATGGCCTTTATGCATCATTAATGAAAATGCAGTAACATCATGCATGGGTTTCTGTATGCAGGTTTCTAAAAGTGAGAAAAAAGTAATTTGTGAGAGGAAAAGGTAGTTGCTGTTTCTTAGATCTAAAAACATTATATATTTCACACATTGAGACCTCATACGTGTTTTTTCTTTTTTGGGGGTAGTGAAAAAGTTCTAGAAATAAACAAGGCTGCAGAATCTCAACCTTTTGTTTTAAAAGCTAATTCCAGAGGGATCCAAGAAGCCAAAAGGTTTGTAGACTTATATTAAGGATGAATCTTTTCTTTCCCTTCTGATATGAACTAGTATGGTACTGTTGTTTAGGGTGAACCCAACTGTCAATTCAAGTTCAAGAAACTCTGAGGCTAGGCCAAGGGCTGCAGCTTTCAACTTTAAAAGTAGTGAACGAGCAGAAAGGAGGAAAGAGGCAAGCGTAGTGCCGTCACTTCAAAATCTTATTACGTTGATGTTTAAAATTAGGGTTGATGATTGTTTGGTTTGTTTTCATGCCCCCGCTCAGTTCTACATGAAGTTGGAAGAAAAAATGCATGCAAAAGAAGCAGAGATGAATCAAATGCAAGCAATGTCAAAGGTAGTGTAAAATAGTGAGTAATAATAGCTTCTGTTTCTGTAAGGAGAAATATATAGCAGGTTATGTGGCAGATGGTTCCTAAATGCTTGTAGTATATTGTTTTCTAGCTTATGGAACTTCAAATTCGAAATGAGTCTATTTTTTTTTTCCTATTCTTATGGGAGGAGGGAAAGACACATCAATGTGTTTGACGAGGAAATGAGTTGATGATTGCACCAGCATGCCGCACTATTATCTGTCATGCCATTTTCTGTTTGCCTGTATCATGAAACTTATAATTCTTTAAGAGGATACTGTCTTTTATGTAAATGTGAAATATGGATCAAATCTATCTTAAAAAACATCCCAATTGAAATCTCTACAAATGTGGCAAGTTTGTGACAAAACTAATTTGCTAATCTGTGCACTTCATTTCAGTTTAATATTTTTTTTTATTTCAATTTATATCATTATTTTACTGATGTCTTATTCTTGGGATTCTCCCAAAATTTTATCAACCTCCACTGGAAATGAAAACGCATTAGATTTGGCGTGTTTCTATTTTATCCTTAATATCTCCTAAAATAGGTACTATAGTTTGCTACCGTCAATTTTAGGGCTAATCACGAAAGTAAAGCTATTTTTGCCATGTTTGAGTATGATGAATCTGTTTATCCTAGAGCAACAAAAAACTCTGGCATGGATAAAACATCAGGATTATTAGTTAAATCTTAGTGGTACCACATTAATAGTATTATCCTGTGATTTGTCATATGCATGCATGGAAGGGATCCAATTAGGCATCATCTTCCTTGTTTTTGGTAAAAATATCAGGGGTAGATCTGGTATCAAATTACTAGAGGAGCCAAACTATGAATTATTAAGTGCCTTTGAAGTTAAAAAGAAAGAAAGAAAGAGTATTTTGAGGGGGCTGACTTGATGAAATAAATACAGGGGAGTCTGAGGTTTGAAAATCTTGAGGTCCCTGAAAGCAGCATAGTTTCGGCACAAAAAAGATGGCATCGTTCTATTTTTAAGTAAAATGTACTTCAATGTTTCTTATAGAATCAATACTGGTTCAATTAAATTTTGCAGTGCATCAACAACTATATGTGTTCAATTAGTTCCCTTAAGAATCAAGCTTAGATTTGTTTGTCTACCATTCCGTGCACTGTTGTATATAGGTTATCAAGAGGACTAATCCAAAATTAGTGGAGTTGGAAGCTTTAGGGATTTGTGAGAAGACACGGCTTGGCTGGAGAAGAGATTAGATTAATAGATCAAATGCCAGTGAACTTTCATTGAAAATAAGAGCAGAGAAATTTGTTTATGGTTTCGAGATGTACAGTGTAGAGAATGGAGGTTTTTTAACCGCTTTGTCTCGAGAGACATATGAGTGTGGGGATACAAATCATTAAATTAAAGGTGCAGGAGAGTAAAAGAATACAAGTAGGAAAGGACCTTGGTCTAAATAATAAGTAAAGATCTTCTCGCTAAAGGTTAGGAGTCTAGAAGATAGGGGTGTGGTTAATGATACTGAATGGAGAAAGAAACGTTTAAAGGATCCTAAATAACTTTTATCAATTAGTTATGCAGGTTGAATTCAGACATTGCTGCTGCTTCTACTAGTTGCTTGTTTGTATTCCTTATAGAGCTCCAAGAAACTAATTGGATTCAGCATCTGTTTCTTGTAGGAAAAGACACAAGCTGAGATTAGAAAACTCAGGAAGACTCTTAACTTTAAAGCGACGCCTATGCCTTCCTTTTATCGCACAGCTGCTGCTTCACATTCAGACGGGAATAAGGTAAATGGAAATTGTAATGACATATAATTCTATTCCTGGATTGTATAGGCTGTCATATATCTCATTCGTTGACTGAATTTTGTGTCTTGGCTTGTTATTCTCTGATAAATCTACTTATAGGCTTGTGAGTGTTTGTGGTCATTCGTTGTTGCAGAAATTAAGGCTTAATTTTCCCTTGACAGAACTTATTGAATGAAAATAGTTGAACATATACAACAAAGGAGACAACAAATCCCAACACTGAAACCCCCCAGTAGAAGATAATGATAAGGCGTAAGTGATAAGATATTTGAAAAACTTGTATTATCTAGGACTTCTATCTTAAATAAAATATTTAAAATAATCTTATAATAATAAAAAACATATTAAAGTTTAGAATATAATTACCTTAAAACAAGATGAACCTAAGATGATAGCATCTTCTATAATAAAATTAATATTAAAATATACTAAATTTACATGTGTTGTAAAACATGTCTTCACGTTTCCCAACAGTTGTTTTGTTAGTAATTTGCAATTGGACGATGATTCTGATATGGGAGATATGCAAATGGGGATTTTACACGAGTATGTGAAATGTATGGATGAGTGGCTTCTGGCCGACCTTTTTTGCAAGCTAACTACTTAAAACATGTTAGGAAATAGGAATGTTTTATGGGCATCATCTCAAGTTCAAATAAATTTATTTTACTGGGTTCACCGATCATAATTAATATATTCAGCTTGATTCATTAAACATGTAACAGATGTTTTATGAACATTGCTTTAAGTCCAAACATCTGATTCATGCCATGGTTCATGAGCTATGAGAAATGGTGTCAAAACCACGGCATGAATGCTTTAAATTCCCAACCTATTGGCTCAAGCATAGGACCTACTAGTTGGTTCAGCCTTCTGGCTAAGTTCCTTGTTATTTTTTTGTATGTGTGTCCAATTGTAGCATTTTCCCCCTCTGCTTTCCCTATTTGAGTTCAACTACCTTAACATTTGTTGGTTCTCCTTTCTGAACATCAGGATGTAACAGATAACAACAAAAGTAGGAACAAGAAAGTACAGAATAAACCAAAATGTGCAGGGAGCATATCAGGCGCAGCAATTTCTTCAAATTTGAAGACTAGAATCAGAAATGATCAAGCTGCTGATGAATCTGTAACATCAACCAAGCCACATAGTATCGCATCCTCTGAGGCTAGTGTGACCTCTTCAACTCCTCCAACCAACCAAAGCCGCCTTCTTGATTCGAAGCAAATGGCTGGGTTTCCAGATGGAAGGAACGAGCAAAGGCTGGGTGGCAAAACCAGAGTTTCATTAGAGGGCAGCTTTAAGGAGGCAAGAAGGCCACACAGTAGAGAGAAGCGAACTGGGCAAACTCCAAAACAGAGCATTGAAACAAGGAAGAATAGTGTGAAGAGTATAGCTGTTAGAAGCAGTTCAAGAATTGGTAGTCTCACTGTACCTGTGGCTTCCTGAAAACTTTCTTCTCTTCATCTTCAAACTGATCTTCTGCTTTCTCCAGGACTGCTATTATCTTAGCTTTTCGCCCCACAAAATACAGTGTAATGATTGCACCATAGGTTATTTTATAATGTTAAAGTTACTAATAAGTCAATGATTGCAGCATGCATGCAAGTAGGCAGTAGCTTTGGTAAATAATGGGCATGCTCATTATTGATGTTCTTTGCTATATTATCTCTCCGGACAACCCTCTATGTCAAAATTGGAATTGTCCTTAATTTATACATCAGAAAATGAAAGGGACTTATTGAAGATTTTTTTTTTTTTTTGGGGTGAAGAACATTGAAGATTTGATTCGTAAAATTTTATGGCATGTCCTATTCTTGAATTTATCTTTCTTTGAACCGTATCTCTATTGTTAGAAATTGATAAATGCCAATAAAAATTGGTTTAATTAGTAAAAGTATGATTATTATGATTTATACCTTGTCAATACATAATGTTAAATATTATTACTGATATGAGGACATAATTAGTATGAAATTTAGGGAAATTAACACTTAGGTTCTAAAAAAGAAAATTTAATAACAATTAGATTTTAAAAAATTTTGCTAAAAGTTGAGCTGCAAATATTGCTTTGCAAATGAGAGTTTTCATTTGCAAATAGTTGTTAGCGGCATGCAAAATTTGAATACCTAATCAGTAACTGAAACTTTTATATTTGCAGTCATTTGAATTCGAACTAATCTTTTAGCAAAACTATTTTATAGCCGTGATCAAAATCATCATTTGGGATCCAAGAGTCGTTCGCCTTAAAATCTATAAATATCTGTGTTTCAATTTATATTTACTTTTGTACTATGTGAAGTTTGCTACAATTTTGATGAGCTCCTCATCATCACTTTTTGTTTATATAATTATCTTTGCTACAATGTGATAGCGTTACATTGCCTAAGTGTAAATGGACTATAAACGATATAAAAAGTCCCATATCAAATAAAATTAAATTTAATAATTAATATAAAATAAAAAATATTTATAAAATTGAGTCTTGAAGTTTTTTTTTCTGGATATAAATCATCCACTATCCTGGAGTATCCTGAATTTATTGCCCGTCCCAAACGAATCTGAACCCCCATAAGAAGACCTTACGGTAGTAACGAGGTACTAATGAGATGACCTTTTTGAAATCATGTTAATTATTGTATCTGTCACCCCTCAAAGTTCAAACCTTTGCCCCAAAGAATGTCGATAGTAGCCCTTGCCAACTCTACCAAACCCCCATTGGTGCCTTGAAGTTAAAACATAACATTTTTTTACTGCTCTTGCCTGTCTCTTCTATCCCCCCATTCCTAAGTGGGCTAGGTTTCAAAATCAATTATAAATCTAAAATTATAACTTTCATAAAAATATCCAAATATTTCTACATATAATAAAATCAATTATGAATCAACACCACAATATATCTTAGCATATTTTGATGTTCACGGGGCAAAGACATGCTAATTTCCCGCCGTTGTATATCTTGGCATGGTGCAAATATTTTATCAGAAGACGCCCCGAAGTAAGAAATGAAAGCCAGGTAAGGAAACCAAACAAGTTAAATTGAGACAAGTATACATCAGTACACCAACTTTGGTTGTTGGGGTTGCTGAAATGTCGATCATGTGCTTTGCAGAGTTTGAGATGAGACACGTTACTCCTGATTTATAGAGCACCTTCCTAAAATTCGATATTATTTTTCATGAGTGAAATTAAGCTTGCGTTCAGCATCTTTGATGATAATAGCTGGACTTGCTGCGTTACTGCTATTAAAATGATTTTGAAGCAATCCACCAACCATATTGTACAAATACATCATCCATAAACCAGGTTCCCAAAAAAAATAAAAAATAAAAAAAGACATCCATAAACACAGTATTATAAGCAATACATGAGCCATTCAACACCTAGCGTTATCAACAATACATGAGGCGTTAACCATGAACATAGCCAACAAATGCTTTCCTAAGTTCTCTTTCAGAAGCAATGAGTCAAGGGTATACATAACACGTGATTGAAGGGTCCAACATAAAGCAGAGCCAGTGATTAACAAACAGCACAATGGCAAAAGTATGCACATGTTTAGGTTATCAACCATAACATGATGCATCGTATGTTTAGGTTTGCAATCTGCAATGTTATAACCAACTGTGATTGATATAATTTTATCGAGAGCATCTCCACCTTGAAATGTCTCTGGCATTGTACAATTCTTTTCTGATCTCATGGTTACCTCACACGCACGATGGTGGAATGCATTCCCAGAAACATGTTAAATTGTGAATGACCCTTGCTCACAAGTATGATAAATACTACCTTTTTTTTTAACCTGTGAGAAAAAGAAAACAGTCGATGGTTTTTTTTCACGGCTAGTCCATTCGAAGAATCCATAGTTTATCCTTCGACAAGTTCCAAACAGAGAGTCAAAAATAATGGCAGCCGAAGACAAGAAGGGCTTAGAACTGAAATAGCAAACAAAATCAACCAGGACACACTCATCCCATCCTTGCCAGTCGACTAAGCTATCATCCAATATCAAGTGGCCAGAAAAGTCACAATTCAATATACAGAAAATGAGAAAAGTCAGACGTCACCATGAAGAAAGAGCACAAGAACAGACAGAAGTATTAACGAAATTTTCAGGGATTACAAAATACTTTTGGCATCTTTTTTCTATACAGCCATCTGGAAGCCGGTACTGCCTTGAGTATGTAATTCATTGAAGAACATTTCTGGCTTCAAGATTTTCAACACAGCTGTTTTCCTAGATCCTAACCACATTAGTGCCATCAGTTAAACAAAAAAAGAATGGAAGATTCATAGCACGTTTAAGTTCACCGAAACACAAGTGCGAAACTTAAGTAGAGACGTATTATCTTTTTCACTGAACAAGAATCAGAACCTGGAATTCCACCAAAAACATTAACATGTGCTAGACAAAAGGGCAGAAAAGATTGTTAAAGGAAAAATAAATGGCTAATTTCTTTAACCAAGCAGTTAACAGATATCAAACAATGAGGCCGAACAACTCCATTTTATCATGATACTAATTAAACAGGAAATAAAGAACCCGTCCTCTTTAAACTGATGAACCCTCCTCCTCAATCAAAAGAAAGTTTTGGATGAAATAAAAGATTAATATATAGCCATAACTATTTGTCAACAGCTTCCAAACTTAACAGCATTAACCAACAAGTTGCGACAATTTCCCCACTTCGTTAATACTTTGCTACCTTCTATCATTGGTGCAAATAGAGAGGGCATCAGTAGATAAATTTGTCAACATATGAACTTACCTGAAGTTCAGAGATCAAGTGTAAAGCCATCATATGCCCATAGTTGCACTAACAAAAATAGATGATTTCATAAGTTGTGATGCCAGATTGGCGTTAGAATTTCAAATAAAATCATAAAAATAGGATATATCTATCCAAATCCCGTAGATCCTAAATAAATTGAGGGAGCAGGGTGATATAAGAATCAAGCCATCTCCGTACTTCCTTCAAAGGTATTAATGCATAAAGTGTAAGGGTAACAAAGTCAGAACAGAAGAGGGACAAGGTCAGTATGTTGTAATTTAGTACTGCCTCCATTACATTTTATAAGCTGTTTCTTCAAAATTTGCAAGGACCAATGAAGACAGTTAAATGGACTTAGGAATCTTAATTTATTTCAAAAAGAAGCGTAAACTTCAAAAGTACTCTTCGTTTAATATTAGCCCCTAACTCATATTTCCTATCCATCAAATTAGGAAGGGTATTTTGGGATAACATTTATTGATGTATCATCGTTTTTGCAAAACATCTTGTATCATGAAAAATGTAATTAATACAAAAAACACCTTATAAAACCTAATGGAGGGAATATTAGCTTCTACTTCAAGAATCACAAAAAAGTTAGCTCTGAGAAAATCAGCGCCCCTTTTATTCCACAAAAGGATAGACAATTATAGGACACATGATATGAGTTATGACCCATAGAAAAGGCCTCCATATTTAAACGAATGCAGGATGGCAAAGCTTTCGAATATATTGGGAAATAGAAAATTAGACAATCTAACTCAACAAATTCCACTAGTTGCTGGATAGGACACAACAAATTGCAAGTCAATCAGATAACTTCATCCACCAATTTAGCCTTACAAATGCTACAAAACTGATTTTGTAACCCGGCAACTGAAATGACGATTTAAATTTGGTCTTTTGATGTAAGTTTATAACACATCATTATACCAGTCAAGTTTATCAGTAACAGATATCCCACATATTAATGGAAAACACAATGAAAAGCCAGACAGGATCATTATATGTTTAACTTTACCAATACATGAGCTAAGACAATGCATTGGTTATAGCTAGATAAAAAACAGCTGCAGCAAGGTTTTACCAATATCTAGAGTAATAGGAGACTAACTAGAATCACCAATTATAACTAAGAACTAAAAGAAAGGAAGCAGGAAAAAAAAACGAACAAATAAAGCAGAAAATACAACTTACTAGTTTTCCTTCGCAGACTGTGAACCTACCCTAACAAAAATTTACATCATGGTGGATTAAATAACCTATTTTTACATTTCAAAAGGTACTTTTTTTTGCTTTTTAATCTTGAAATACAAGCGAAGCCATAACTGGTGTGGTTACCAATTTATCTTTGGACGGATGACTGTTACGATGGAGAAAACTCATGAGAAGAAACCCTAGAAAGCACCAAAAACACAGATGGAACCAAATCAGGGAAAGAGGCTCCGCTCCGACGCCAGTATTGCAGCCCCATCGCTGCAAGGGTTTTCGAAGCGCAAAACTTAATTGACCCCGACCAAACCGTCAAACATTGATTATTGGAAACGGGAGAATTGCTAATAAATGAAGTTATGTCCAATGATCAAGCGTAATTGAAGGAACAGATAGAATATTTTATTCATAAGAACGTTGGATAATTGATTGAAATATCTCTCTGTGTTGATTAAAAAAAATGCAAAAAGGCACAAAATTAGGTCATCAGAGCCTCAATGGCTAGAGCTCCTGTCCTTCCTCCTCTAGTAGTAGTAGGTGACAGTGTGCCTGTTGGAGCTTCAACTAACTGATAAAAAGTCATCGAAAAAGTGAAAATACTTAATTACATGTAGATGTCAAAGATTACGGGGAAATTTAACAACTAGAGGGTTAACAATCAAAGGATGCAAAAGGTTTTGACTTAAAGTGAACGTGTTCTAACGTAAGATGCAAGATGTAAGAAAATTGGCTTTAAATGCAAAGATTTAGATTCAGCGGCTTTAGCTTAGAGTGCAATGTGTAAGAATTTTGACTTGAAGTACGAGGTATAAGGGGATTGACTTGAAGTACAAGAGTTTTGATTTAAAATGCAAAAATTTTGACTTAAAAGCAGTGACTTTTGTGTGCTTGTTTTATGTGGCATTCATTACATCTTACATGTAATTTTTACTCAGACATGTTCATAAATTATTTTGTATGAAATTAGCTATCATTTCCATGGAATTTAGGAATATTGAGAGTGGTGTGATTTTTGTACATTTGTTTTATATGAAATTCGTTAAATCTTATATATAATTTTTCCTTAGGCATGTTCACAATGTAAAATGTTTTACATGAAATCAATGATCGTTCCCTTGAACTTTAGAGACACCAACAGTGGTGTGGACTTTGCTTGTTTGTTTTACATGGAATCCATTAAATCTTACATGTAATTATTTATAATTATTATGAAATCTAAAGTTGTTGCCATGTGTATGTGCTCTATTTGCTAAAATTACATGTAATTATTAATAATTATCATGAACGATTAAGAACACTCACAATAAGTTCCATCTTTTTTAAATATTATACATTGTATAATAAGCTATATTAACCTATAAATAATTTAGATTCAATAATGTAAGATAAAGGACAAATGAATTGTCTTTGAAAAACGAGAACATGTGAAGAGGGAAAATGAATAGCAAAATTTTTAATGAAACAATAGTAATTCTATTAGGTTCACTCTATTTTGTTGTTTAAGTACAATGAAAATGATAGATAAAGATCACAAGGTACCTCCTATCAAAAAATATATTAAAGGAAGATAAAAACAATATTATACCTATGTTAAATTATATCACACCCTATACAAAAAACAAATGAAAGGAATGGCCCTAAGTACATTTAAAAATATAATTACATTTTTATTCAATCTTTTAGAAGAGTCCCTTGATCAACATTTTTTTATATCTCACTTGAGTTATGATATATATGAATTAAATTTGTAAGAAATTCTTGACTTGAATATTTTTTTTTTATATTTTCAGACAAAATCTTATCTCTACCCAACCCTACATTTGTGGGAGAAAAACTCTTAGTCTATGTTAATACTTTAGATTCCAACTAACCTGGCCATCATAAAAGCATAAATATCCTTCCTAAAGATAATTATAAGAAAGCTCATACAAGGATATATTTAGGGCTTATTTAGTTTCTGTTCTTTTTTTATTTTAAAAATTGTTTTGTAATACAGTTTTTAAAATTATTTTTAAAATAAAATAAAATGAAAATTCACTTGTTTATATCAATTAAAAATATTTTTATAACTAAAAAATAAATTAAAAGTGATAATTATAGATAGTTAATGATAGTGATTAATAATAAAAATTAGTTAATGTAATTATAATATTTAATAATTAAATGTAGTGTATTTTAAAAATAAGAAAAATAAAATAAAAACATCTTAAAGTTGTTTCTATTTTTTTGTTGTTAAAAACAAAAAATGAAAACATTTTTAGAAACAATTAAATGAAAATCACTTATCCAAATAAATTTTTTATTTTTTTTATTTTCAAAAACAAAAAACAGTTTTTAGAAATAGAAAACAAACATGTTATATTTCTCATTTTTGCTACTTCAATTTTAGCATATATGCAGTTACTCTCTGTTATTTCAAGTTTTGCTTTAAGTGTTTGAGCTGCAGTCGGCCATGCAACTTCCATTTTCTTTCTCCTGAAGATAAATTATGCCATGAAATTTAAGCAATCATTTAACCAAATAAAAAAAAAAGATACAGTAACAATACAACTGGACATTTATATGTTTCCATTTTCAATTTACTTATTTATCACTGACAGAAATACCAACTACCTAAAGACACCACAAGGCATGCAGGCTAAATCAACTTGTTTTTGTCCACAAAAATAGTAGAAGGAAAAAAGTTCAAAAGTAATGGTCATCCTCAGCAAGATAAAACCATACCAAAGTCTAACTAATTGATTCTTATTTTTACTTATTAGACAAGCAATTCAATACTATCTAACTTTGGACAGACAAGTTTGTCTATAATAGATAATTCTATCCGTGACAAGCATATTCTTAATGGATTGCAAAACCCAAGCACTGAGTAAACGTATATGAGAAGAGAAAATAATGCATTATTAGGATAAACATGATTATTTGATCTTGTTGCTAATGAAGAGTCATATTAGTCATAAGAAAGAAAGATCTGAATTGCAAGTGCATAAAGGATATGAAAGAAGCAATTACACGCCAATTCGATTTCTATTTTAGCTAAGACCCACAAAGGCTGAGTTGGGCATTATACTGATAAGAACAATCTGATTAACTACGATTCAAACTTGGTTGGCGCATATAAGACGGTTCCAACGTTATGCAAGGTCACAACTTTGCTTTCTTATATTGGACGATTCCAATAATAAAGAGTAGTATTAAAATAATTATAATTAATAAAATTTTATTATTTGTTCACCAAAAATATTTTATAAAGCAGTAAAAAAGAGAGAATACATATTTACAATCTATCTTTTTCATGATATGTGCTTAACATATTGGGTTACTCTTGTTTTAAACTTATAAAAAATCTAGATCAAGTTCGAATCAATTTAGTTCAAATTTCAAGACTTTAAAAGATGAACCAGACAAAATCGAATTCGGTTTGATTTGCATTGGCTGGGTTAAAAACGAAACCTGTTTAGACATTTGTTTTGTTTGATTTACTGTAGCTGGCTTGGTTTGTTTTGGCGTGTTGGATTTTAAACACTCTGAGTACTTTGCAGCCAACTAAGACAGCAATGCGACATGTGCCGTGGCACGTTTCTCAAAATTATTAATGGTGACATAGTAAATTTGAAATTTCAATAAACCATCCCTCCTTTTGGCTCCATTTGAGCCGGTCTATTTAGATATTTTCTAGTAAAAAATCGTTAACCTTTTAAATTTTTTATTGTTTAAACTTTTAAAAATAATAAATCAATTTCTTTTGTCATTTTAAGAAACTATTTCATGTGATTTTGGAAAATGATTAAATTTTGTAGATGATAGAGAATATTGTTAGAAAATCAAAATAGAAATAGAAATCATAAAATTCCAAAATTATTAAATAATAAATTATTTTTTTAGTATTGTAACCAAAAGCAAAGTAATTTCTCTTTTTTTTTTCTAAATTTTTTAACTTATCTACAAATCATTTACTCTCTCCAACTTTAACAAACAAGTGACCAATTAACCAAGCGGGTCCGTGATCCTCCCAAAATTTTAATTTCATCATAGTATTGTTTAAGTTTTATATTTTTTATTTCTAAAATTTATCCAAACTTTATATGACACACACACACATTCTCAAATTCGGGTCCCTTGTAAATAAATAGAAACCCTGAACTTATGTAATTGCAAGGACAACAAAACAGCACATTTGTTGTATTATTAGTTAGCAGACATACACAATAAACAATAGACAATGTAAGGCAAAAGCATCAAACCGCAAGATCCTTTCACTGGTCTAAATTAAATATTTTATAATAGCTGTCATCATTATGTTCGGAAACATTGTACAAGAATAATAAAATATACCATAATTTGGACCGTGGAGAAAGTATAAAGTTTGAACAAAGAATTTCATAGTTTTATATTCACGCTTTAGTGTTTCGTATATAATTTTTTTTTTTAAATCTTGACTCTTGAAAAGGAATAATTTCAAAATTTTAGTTTTTTTTTTACAAAAGGTTGGTATTTATAATTCCCTAATCAAATAAGATGAAAATTAAACCAAAGAAAAATATAAACAAATGGGAAATCATGATTGCGATTGTGTTTGCTTCCCACTAATATCAGGTGAGCTTATTTTCGTTTTGCGTGATCCTTGAGACGCTCAACATTGAGCAGCGAGCACAATCGTACCTTTTCTACTTTGAAAACAAAATTCATAATTTTTTGAATTAAAAATAATTTATGTTTAAATTTACCAAACATTTTATATCATCGTAACAAATTTTACAAAGAAAGAAAAATTTCAACATTTTAAATTTAAAATCTTTTTAAAATATTATTCACATACGGTTTTATTTTAAAATATTTGTTTATGATATATCTTATATGAAACGTTACTCTCTTCAAACCAAGCCACAGCTTATATCGCAGCCTCGTTTTGGATTATCTTTTGGCCATCACCCACTTGCCCACACATGTAAGGGACCGCCATGCCCCCTTTTCAAGGTTCATTTAATTAGAGAATCTTCCTAAAAACAAGCATTGCATAAAATAATAAAATAAAAAATATTGCTAATAATTAATTCCAATGTTTTATTAAAATTATGATAGTATATTGAATTTTATAATTTGAATCCCTAATATTTTTGTGGTAAAAATTAATAGTAAAAATTAGATCAACTCCACTAATTCAACTGATAAATCATTAAATTTATACTTCAACCATTTTAATAAAATATCTTATTCATGACTGTGGTTTATTCCTTAAATTAATGTTTTAAGTGGTTTAAGGACCGATTCAATTTTTAATAAGTTAGTTAAAATCATTAGAAAGATTTTACAATATCAATTTATTGATACCTTATAATTTTTAAATAAATATGATATATCTTTCTTATTTTAATAAAGCGTTTGTAGAATTTTGGTAAAAAAAAAAGCATTTTACACTACATTATTCATATTTATGCAGGGGCAGATTTTCAAGGGTGGGTAATTATATTATTAAATAATTAGGGTTATACTTATGCATACTTTCTTCATTAAGAAATTAGATGTTAAAAATATAAGATATTTTTAATTTTTAAGGTGTAATAATTATCTTTTTTTGAAAATGTCCCTATTAATTAAAAGCTTTATATTTATTATAGAATATTTAATAAGAGTAAATATAAAAAAATATAATTAATTTAAAATTAAATAACTACTTTATTAAGGATAAAATTTAATTAAAAATGTCTTATATTTTCAACTGGAGGGAGTAGCTTTATATATTTGCTGGCCAATATATATAGCTTTATAAATGTTCCTTATTTTATTTATTTAAAATACATTAATTGTACGATTATTCACTAAAAAAAAAAGAAATAATTCAATTTAAAAATGGTGATGATATGAAAAAGCAAATTTTTATTTCTTAATAAAGAATATTAAATCAGTTACGAAACATCGAATATTAAAAAGAGAATATAAAAAAAGCTTATTAAATTAAAGAGACCATGAAAAATATTGTTTCTTTTTTGGTAAGACGAATATTCTCACAAACTTTCAAATCTGGTCTAAGACTAACCCGAAGAATGTTGTTCAAGCACACAACAACTCCAAGACAAAGTCAAGTGACGTAAGAAGTAGTTCCATCTTTTTTTTTTTTTTTTAACAATAAACTATTCATTGTCTGAAGCCTAACTCGAGCCTGGTTAATCTGGTACAATCCTTACCGGCTCATCCAAGCACTTGTTAGTTACATAGTTTTTTTTTTTTTTTTGGTAAAAAGTTACCTGGTCTTTTTTTCCCCCCTCAAAAATCAATACACTCACTCAAATTAAATATTTATCAATCATCAATATATTATTTAAAAGTGAATGGATTGTAATTTAAAAGATTATAATTAATTGAAATTACTTTTTTGATAAAGCTAAATGAAATAATCGGTATGCCTTCCTTACTTGAGAATCACTGCAAGACAAAGATGCTTGACAAATAACTGAGAAACAAATTATGAACCACAACGCATCTATCATCACTAATTCTGATCAGAATCTCAGTGGTTCCAGCAAGAGTTTGAACATTACATTATCAAAGATTCTCACTGAATATACTAAACAAGAAGGATTAAGCAAAGAGATGATGCTGCTACAGTCCATTTCTGCACACTGGTTGCTGCAGAAAATGATGATGATGAATACCCACCTGTCCCATGCGGTGGCTTTCTGTAATAGAACGGAAAGTATGGCAGAATCGGCTCCGGAGGAGGTGGGGCACCATAGTATCCACTGCCGCCGCCGCCGAATCCGTACGGTGGAGGTTGATTATAATAAGGGTAGTTATTATACCCAGTAGTCGGTGGTGAGTATACTGTTCCGCCGGTCTGCGGCGGAGTTGGGGTCACCGTGGTAGCCGTCGAAGTGCCGCCGCCGCCGCCGCCAATGGGGGGTGGGTTGCATGGATAAGGGCATGTCTGCTCGGTTCTTGCAGTGCCAGGAAAGGTGAGGAGTGTGACGGAGAGGAAGAAGACGATGGTGATGAAGTGTGTGGCGATGGACATGTTTGGTAGGAGAGAAAAGACGAGAAAATGAGAGGAAGAAGAAGGGATGGTGGACAGAAAAACCAAGTGGGTGTGATGTGAGTGAGGGATGGATGTGGATGTTTTGTTGTGAGATGTGAGTGAATGAATAATGAAGATGAATTGAAAAAAAAAAGTTGGAGGCAAAAAAAACAGAGAGAGAGAGAGAGAGAGAGAGAGAGAGAGAGAGAGAGACGAAGTTTCACAGTTAGGGCTTTGAAATTGAGTCACTTTTCTGACGCTTTGGTCCTTTTGAAGACTCGTTAATGGAAGTTTGGTTTGATTTTTGGCATATAATTGGACAAAACAATACAAACAGAAGCAGTGGGTGGGGGCACAATTCACCAAAGACGTTGATTTTTCCTGGACTTCTATAGCACCTTCAATAATTGGTTGTTTTGAAATTTATGCATTCATCATATGTTTTTTAAAAAAATTAACAAATATTGACTTGATCATGATTGAATTTAATTCAGTCACATTGTTATACTAATTTTTTTAAAATACGTAATATTTGAAATCCTTCCGGGCAAAAGTTTTGCCACCAAATATTATTGTATTTACAAAATTTGAAATGGAGACCTTACAGCTCCCCTTGAACCAAGCACTTGTTGAGGTGGGAAATCAAATCTAGGAGAAAAAAGGAAAAAAAAAAGAAGAAAAAAAGAAAAAACAAAGAGAGGCGGAATTAAAATTTTTTTTTAATGTCTTCACTCGTTACCCCAATTTTTAATTTGAAGTCGTACAAACTTTTATGGGTAAATCCTTATAGTTTACCAAAATTACCAAACCCTCCCTTGAATCTTCCAAACTGGTCAACGTCGTCATTTAAAAATTGCTAAGGTGGCCCTCAAGAAAAATGTGCTAGTACGGCCAACAGTGTCTTTTTTTTTTTTTGACCAGTTGCCAACAGTTGTAAATCACAAAATTTGAAAGGACGGGAAGTGCCATGCGTTTAAAACACTCAAAGGCTAGAGTTCTATTTATTTATTTTATTATTTATTTTCTTGGGTCAAAATCAAACGACTTAAGCTAAAACTTTTTTAAAAATCATTAAAGATGTATATGAAAAATTATCATTTTGAAGGGGACAACTTTTTAAATAATACTCAATTTTTTTGAATAATTAATTTTATAACTGTCAACCATAAAAATACCTTGGATAGTCAAAAAAACTTATATACTATTACATGGTATTGTGTGGGTAAAAAGATGCGGAGTTATTATGTTTCGTGATTTTATTTTATTTTTTTGAATTGAAAGATAGGCCGATTAGTGCAAATGAAACATTACATCAGTTTATCGAATCAATATAGGTCAGTACATTCCACTAAGAGTTCATACCACCGTGCTTGATTTATTGGAAAAGAAGTGATAAGGACCACTTTTATATATTCATCTAATAATTATAATAATTTCTTAAACTCTTTATATTAAATATGTTTGAAGGTGATTTATTTTATCAAAATATATTAAGTCATTTAGTTAGACATATCTTAAACTTTATATATTCTTATATATCTTTTAATTTTTAGATATACAACCTTTTTAATTTATTTATTTCTAATATTCTTTCTGTTATTTTTCCTTTTTTTTCCTTGATTTTTTTCATTTCCTCCTCCTCATGTCTCGTTTTTTTCCCCACCTTCCATGCTTTTATTCTTTTTTTCTTTTTCTCATCTTTTTTTATTTCCAATCAAATGGCTCATGATATTATGTTAAACTTTTTATATTAAGTATGCTTAAATATAGTCTACTATTTTTTTTTCATTTTTGTTTTCCAATGAAGTGATTTATGATATCATATTAAACTTTTTATATTAAGTATGTTTGAAGGTGGTTAACTTTACCAAAATAATTTAAGTTATTTGAGTAGAAGTTTTATATATTCTTCTAATTTTTAAATGTGAAATTTCTTTAATTTTTTTTTATCTCTGATACCATTGAACCTAAATTAACCATGTAAGGATTAAAACATATTTTTCTTTATTTTTGTTGAATTTTTTAAAAAAATTAATTAATAAAATAGTTTTTAAAAACGAAATGGAGAATAAAATAAACAAGCCCATATTCTTTTAATTAACCAAACCAATCCCTGTAGTCCGTACATATTATTTTCCCTTACACCTATAATCTGAATTAGCTGGGTGCTTAAGGTTATATTTGTCATATAACATTGGTAAGCATGATCCCAGTTGTTTTTTTTTTAATAATTAATACGAGTTGTAAAAAATTTAAACCCGTAAGTGAAAATATCGAAAAATATTATGATTGGTTCGTGGTTTTCCACATGAAGACTTGCTTTGAAGTGAGATAGTGGGCATAGCTTCCCCCTTCCGCATTATTAGAAATTTGAATCTTTCAAACCACACCACTTTTAGTTTCTTCTGTTTTTGTCCTTCAACTGCCCCATGTTCGTTCGCAAAGTTTTGATCATTTCTTAACTTTACAAACAAATTACGCCATCATATGCAACCAAAAGAGGCACTTCAATCTTTCACCTTTAGTTTTGAAGTCTGACATTGTCAATGAAAATTTCTATGAATTGCTCTCTTTCTTTTCTTTTTAGTCTTGTAGTATTGCTGATTTTCTTTTCCCAACCAGATCCTTTACTGCTAAATTTCATGTGCTCTTTTTTCAGTGTGTATAAATGTTCTTTTATTGAAAGAAATCATATTTAAAATACAATTAGACATTGAATATAAATATACCTTTTGGCGAGAATTAAAACTTCGATTTACCATATTTTGAGTGACATAGAAAAATGAATTATATATGAGAATACAATATATTGTATTTTTAAGTTCATGAGTTTTCTTGAATGTAAGGAATATGGATAACAAACCAAGAAGCAAATGAACATCTTCTGACTCATGACTCAAGTTGAACATATAAAGAAAATGGCCCTATTGATTCATAAATGTATGGACTTGTTCTTCAGGAGCAAAAAGAATAATAATGGATTTTTTTTTTGGTTATCCACAAATATCTTTCTATTGGACAATTCTATTCAAGATATTATCAGACACTAAATGAGTATTTTTTCTAATGGAAATCACTACTAAAAAAATGTGAATTAGCGAGGAAATTTAGCGAAAGATTGTATATTCCTCTCCAAAATGCCAAATTAGTGAAAAAATTAGTGAGAGATGTTTTTTTTTTTTGGCCAACAATGAAACTAAAATTACTCAAAACCAGCAACGGTCTAAAAAGGAAAACTGACAACAAAGAAGCAGTAGAAATAAAATAAGAGAGGAAGATAGCTATCAGGTCTAAAGAAATCTTGGAATCAGCAAGACTTCGATCCAGGAGACAAGCAAGTGAGGACGGGGATCTAAAGACCTAATCCGAAGAGCACATCACTTTTGCTGCTGCATGAGCAATCCAGTCGACATCTTTGATAAGGTTTCTTGGAATCCACTCTAAGCAAATATTGCCTAGTGATTGACCAAGAGATTGAATAATGTCCACTAAGGCAAATGATTCCCAATCAGGACAAAAAGTCATACCATTAACCACATTTACCAGAGGGAGACAAACAGAAAACATTAGGATACTGGAAGGACCAGCATAAACACACCATTACAAACCCAATAGCATAGCAAAATCCTCCCTAAAGAAAGCAAAAATAGCATTTAAAGGACAACATGAGATTTCTAGGTACAGGTTTTGGGCATTGCGAGCAATATACCCATGACCTGCAGAGCTAGAATTAATGAGAAAAGCACCATCTAAATTTATTATCACAACATAGCAAGCCATGTCTATATAATCATCCGCATCCATGCCCCTTGAATCTTCATATTGGACACTTAAACCTAGACCTTTATAATTGTTAGCAGCCCAGAAAATATCAAAGTCATGAATGCCCAAGTGAATTATACCTTCAAGATGTATATTTTGCTTCTTAAAAATAAAGGAGCACCGTGCTTTCCAGATCTGCCCTAAAATAAAGATCATGATCATGGACTTCCGTTCATTAGTCTATTGTTGAAAATTAATTTCAAACCACGAATCATTCTCCAATCTAGGCAACAAATGGCTTTGAATAACCTTGCAAAATTTGCAACAAATGGAGAAATCCCCAAATAGAGATTCATTAAATTGCAAACTTGTATGGTCCACTAAACCAAGATAAATCCATTCCAAGCATCTAGATATTGAATTAATCTCAAGCATAGCCAGCAAAAGCTTCAAGTCATAGTAACAGTTCAACCAAATATAGACATTTAGCACATCTATAACCACTGGATTCATAGACTCAGAGACAAGGACCCATATCAACCATGAATGATCAGCCATAACAATGAGAATATACCAGATATAAACCACAAAAAACACCAAGAAGATAGGCATAGAGACATTATACCACAAATAAGAACCAAAGACAAGACTAAACTTATCTTTCGACCCTTGCATCTTCTCTAAGAATTGATGATCCTGGATAGGACAATTTTTCGATGAGACCGCTATCACAGAGCCGCTCAACATCTTTTTAAACACCTTGACTGAGGAGATCGAATTCATCATCGCCGACGCACTTGAACTTGCGGGTTGGCCTATCACAGATTCGACCGAACACACCAAAGCCACTTCGTCCATCAACACGAGAACATTGAATACAGGAGGTACCTAATGCAAATCCTCTGTATCACCAAAATCATCAAGATCAAAAAACTAAATATAAGAAGCTTCCTCCACCCGGTCGATCATTACTATTGGTGAGAAAAATAATGAGGAGATATCAATCACTCTTTAAAATAAGATAATTAATAAAAAAATAATGAGAGACTATCATTTTTATCTAAAATTAAATAATTAATGAGAAATTTTGTCTCTAATTAATTGCTACAAAAAATTAATTTTTGAAAATAAATGTTAATTAATTATATATCTAATTATTTTTATTTAAAAAATAAAAATTAAATTTAAAAATTAATTAAAATATTCATAATAAAATTATTTAATGTTTAATATTTTCTTTATTTTAAGTTCATTTTCCTTATAAAAAATAACTTTTTTATTAAAAAATATAATATAAAAAGTCATATAAGTACAAATATAAATATTTTTAATATATTAATTATTGAAAATAAAATATAATATACATGTGTATTTTTTATAACATATTACTTGATATATTTGTGTAGTTAAATA